TGGTTATGGGGACAGAGTCTTACTATGTCACCCTCGGCAGAGTGCTATGGCATCACAGCTCACAGCAACCTCAAACTCTTGGGCTTAAGCGATTCTCTTGCCTCAGCCTCCCAAGTAGTTGGGACTACAGGTGCCTGCCACAATGCCTGGCTATTTTTTTGTTGCAGTTGTCATTATTGTTTAGCAGGCCTGGACTGGGTTCAAACCCACCAGCCTTGGTGTATGTGGCTGATGCTGTAACCCCTGTGCTATGGGCACCAAGCCTAGTATTAGGTTTTTTTTTTTTTACAGTTTTTGGCCAGGGCTGGGTTTGAACCTACCACCTCCGGCATATGGGGCCAGCGCCCTACTCCTTTGAGCCACAGGCGCCGCCCAGGTATTAGGTTTTGATTTAACCTCTAGTACAAAGCCCTTTCCAGGATAACTACATTTTTGGATTTCCAGTAAAGACTCTTCTTTTTTTCTGTCTTTCTTTTTATCTACTTATTCATTTATTTATTTTTAGAGTCTCACTTTGTCACCCTCAGTAGAGTGCTATCACATCATAGCTCACAGCAACCCCAAACTCTTGGGCTCAAGCAATCCTCTTGCCTCAGCCTCCCAACTAGCTGGGACTACAAGCACCTTCCACAATGTCCATCTATTTTTAAAGATGGTGTCTCCCTCTTGCTCAGGCTGGTCTTGAACTCTTGAGCTCAGGCAATCCACCCTCTTCAGCCTTCCAGAGTGTTAGGATTATTTATTTTTTTGATGGTCAGATGGGAGAATGGGTAACTTTTGGTGAGTTTAGACCACACTGACAACTTTTTTCAAGTGGAAGTCAGCACTGGTGTTGTTGGCCTCATCATGGCATCTCCCAGCAGGGGGCGCCCATGGGCACATCTCTGTGTGTGAGCAAGGACCGGAAATTATGCACAAATTGGCTTGTGCTGAGGTTAAGGAAATGCTGTGGTTATGGGGCAGCAGCCCTACTGTGTCCAGTGGGGGAAGAGTTCTTAAACTTTAATAAGCCTCAAACCACTGGAGATCTAGTAAACATGCAGTTTCCTAGGCCCAGCTCCAGAGTTTTTGGTTCAGCGAGTCTAGGGTGTGGCCTGAGAATCTGCATTTCTAACATGCTCCCAGGGTTTGATACCAGTGCTGCTGGTCTGCGGACCACTCTGAATGGCACTGCTCCAGGGTATACCAGGGATGTCCTTATCAGGCCTTCAAACACTGCCATCCCCTGCAGGGTAGCAGAAAGAGTAGGAGTATCCTGGCGGGTGATAGAGAGGCAGGGCATTGAAAGGCCTGGTTGCCAACAAGAGGATGCAGGGATGTGGGCAGCTATTCAGAGAGGACCCCAGGCCCTGCAGGTGGCTCTGGGCAGTTGGCAGTGTTTCACTTACACCTGGCTTAGGTCCACCTGCGCGTGCACAGTGGGGAGCGTCCATTCCAGTGTACCCTGTGCCAGAAGAGGTTCACCCAGCTTGCCCACCTACAGAAGCACCATTTGGTGCACACTGGAGAGCGGCCCCACGAGTGCCCGGTGAGACTCTCCCCATTCCCCTCCTTTTCCCTCCCCAGGAGGGTGACACCTACAGCCTCTATTCCCCAGTTCTTCTGAGCAAATAGAGACAGGAAAGAGGAAACTGGAAGGGAGCGAGTCCAGTGTGTGTGAAAATGATCCCTCTCGGCCTTGAATGAGTGGTGTTGGAAGTCACTCCCAGGGCCTGGAGGAGAAATAGAGACATATGTTTGGGAGGGAATAATAAAGTTGGGGGTCCTAGAGAACGGATTCCCATTGCCTACCTCCCAGGGTTGTTGGAGGAGTTAGTGCTGTGGTGTATGCAAAGTATCACAGTAGGAAAACCATTAGATCAATGTTAGCTCCCTCTTTCTGTGAGCCTGACCATGTCCCTTGGGAAGTTAGAAGGGTAGGAATTCTTTCTCAGGCTTTTACAGGAACGGAAATGAAAGCGGTGTAGGAGCTATGAGTCTGGGCTATAGAGTCAGGCTGCCTGCGTTCAAATCCTAGCTCTGCCTCCAACTTGCTGTGTGACCTTTGCCTAGTGACTTCACTCCTCTGAGCCTCAGCTTTCTCACTATAATACAGGAGTTATACTAGGACATGAAACCAATTCCTGGCATATGGCAGCCCCAGTAAACATTCATTATATCCACTGAAGCTGCGGTCTCACACATAAGGGTTCTGTGTGATTATCTCATTCGGGCCCCCATGTGTATGAGGCTAAGTATTAATAATCATATGTTACCAATGAGGAGAACAAGAGTCTAGAGAAGTTACTTTTCCAAACTCACACAGGGAGCAGAAGGACACTAATCCCAGTCAGCCTGGCTCTGATGTGTGGTCACTGTGGGCCACAGGGAAAAATCATCATGAAGAGCTTCTGGGCCTGCATGGACAGGGAGGTAGTTGTTTTAGGGGGTAGTTTCTCAAACGGGGAGGGGGTGCCGAACTACTGACCCTCCTAGGGCAGAGCTGATGCCAGTGCCCATTCCCATCAGACATGCCACAAGCGCTTCAGCAGCTCCAGCAACCTCAAGACCCACCTGCGCCTACACTTGGAGGCCCGGCCCTTCCAGTGCAGCATCTGCCTGAGTCGCTTCACCCAGCACGTCCACCTGAAGATGCACCATCGGCTGCATGCCCCAAGGTCCCAGGGCCTGGCTCATGCCCACCTTTCGCTGGCCTCTCTGGCCTGCCCTGCCCCATGGAACCAGGGAGTACTAGATCTTGTAGTGGTGCCATCAGAGAAACAGATGGCCTGCCATGTGGACAAGATCAAGGTGTCCTTGACATCTGGGGGAAATCAAGAATAGACGGCCAGAATGTGGTGTCAAGACTGCCCAGGGGAAGGGGCTGGGGCAGAATAATTAAAGGGTTTTCTCTCCAATGAGGTGGGGCCTCCTGAGCTTCAGCAGTAGAGGGGGAAGCCACCATGTATTTACCATACATCATATACCACATGGGAGTAGGTCAGGGGATACAACTGGGAAGAGCCTGGGATGCCATGTGCATGGGGGCCTGCAGCCATGTGCCTCAGGATGGGCATGGCATGCACTCCCTGTCTGGGACCTATCTGGAACCAGGCCCTCCATCTCAACTCACCATCGGACAGTCTAGCCCTCCAAAACTTAGCAGACTGTGTTGCCCAGCCTGGGCACGTTGCCCTGTTTCTGAACAGCTTTTCCAACACCCGTCCAGAGGTATCTCTGCTGCTTCCCATCACCTTCACTCACAATTCCTTCATGGCCATAGTGCTCCCTCAGCCATACTCCCAACATGGACAAGTGGGGTGCTCCTCTCCGTGGGAGAAGCAAAGAAGGAGACACAAGGATCAGTGTCCACTCATGACCCAGCTACATGAAATCATCTGTGTGCCAGGACCAGTCACCACAGAGGGCAAAGTGCTAACAGGGTGCCAAACTCAGGGAAAGGGCTACAGGCAAAGAACCTGAGGAGTGGGGACCCTTCTGATGGCCCTTCTCCCTAAAGCCCCAGAGGACCCCCTCAAATGTGCAAGATGTTCCCCATCCCCACTCCTGAGTCAGAGACAGCATCAGGTGGAAAAGGGTACTGCCTGGCAGGCAGGAGGTCCAAGTTATGATCACAGTAAATGATAGCTATTGTTAAATAAACAGTAATTTTCAGAGGGGTTCTAGTCGCTTCCCCACCGCGGTGCTAAACGGGATTCCTGCTCTGCGTCGTAGCGGTCTCAAAGGGAACCCAGCATGGCAGGGCAAGGGCGGAGTAGGATTAGGATCCACCTGTTCCAATCCCACCTCAGTAACACCTTGAGCCCCTCCTGGGACATCGACCTCTCACGTTAATCCCCGCCCACTCTGCGAGTCCACTCCCCCTTTCCAGTCCCTGGCCTTGCCCCTACGTTATTGTCTCGTCTGCCGCTAGGAGGCGCCCCTTACTCAATCCCGCCTCCCGGCCACTGCTCACCTCAGGCCCCTCTTTCCAACCCCAGGTCCTGTGTGTCCAGCTTCCAGGCTTGCATCCCCGGTGTGTCCCTGGCTCCTCTTGTCTGAAAAAGCACGGATGGGGCTGGAGTGCAGGGGACAGAGGCGGGTGCTCAGGCGGAGGGCCTGGGCTGAGGTCCGGGGTGGGGCCAGTGCCCTCCAGAGCGCGCTCCCTGTCCCAGGGCAGGAGCAGCAGCTGGCCCGCGCGCTGCGGGTGGGGCGGCTGTTTGTTCAGTGGGGCTGCTGGAGGAGGCGCTTCTCCGCAAATGCGGTAGATCCGGGTGGCCCCTGTTGTCGGGTGCCCAGACAGCTCAAGAACCGGGCCTTGACATGGCCGAGCGGCGCAGGGGTCTGGGGGCACGCCTGGTCCGCCTCTTGGCGGGACTAGGGGTCCGGAGGGAGCGCAGGGGGAAGGAGACCTTGGAGGAGGCCACATCCAGGGATAGGTGAGGGGAGATGGACACCTGAGGGTGTGTGTGCACTCGCGCGCGCTAGAGTGTAATGATTGATCAAATAAGTGTGTTTGGGTATCTTTAAGCATAAGAATATGTGTCAAGGTGCCACAGTTGTGAATGTGGAACGATTCCTTGTGCTTTTTTATAACTTTAAAACAATATTTACTGGTGGCGCCTGTGGCTGAAAGGAGTAGGGCCCAGGCCCCATATGCCGGCAGTGGCGGGTTCAAGCCCAGCCCTGGCCAAAAACTGCAAACAAAACAAAACAATACTTGGCAATTTCCTAAGTCAGGGAGGTGGCCTACATTCAATGATTTCCTCTGCAGACAAAGTTTAAAGGCAAAGGTAGTAGTTCCTCCCTCACCCGTGGACTTTGATTCTCACATCACAGGCCAATGTCTTCATGTCCCTTTGTCAGGAGCATGAAAGGTTCCAGAGTTGTCTTAGACTGCACCCCATTTGCCCTTGGATGCCGCGGAGAGGTTTTCCCCATCATCCCTTCACCTGGAGATGACTCTACCTTATATTAACAAGCTTTTATTTGCCACTTGCTTCATGCTTTACCTGGATTATCTCGTGTAATCCTCCCAGTAGCCCTATGAAGCAGGTATTTGTGTGATTCAGATACGGAAATGGAGGCTCGGACAGGTGAGGTCACCTGCCCAAAGTCACACAACTGGGACGTCTGCTTAGGCAGTCTGACTCCAGAGCCCACTTCCTGAAGCTTCGTTGCCTTCAGAGACTGCCAGACTGTTTGCAAGCCAGGTGGCCTGGCTCCTAACCCTTGAGCAAACTGTTTTGCCTCTCCAAGCGGGTAGCCCATGTAGCTGATGTACAAATAGAATGCGGATGGCTGAGTGGAAAGGCTGGGAGGGTGATAGTGAAAATCCAAGAGAACTCTGGTAGCTCACTGGCCCTGTAGGAAGAGCATGGGGTGTACTCTCAGGCATGGGTGTTTGTGTGTCTGTGCAGTTACGGGGCAGTTGTTCTGATCGTATGGTGGCACAGCCATCTTTAGTTCTCCAGGAAGGGTGGGGATAGAACGGGGGAGACATATGTATTACTCTCTCACCCTGAAAAGAGGGGAGGGGAGAGACTTGTCACCCTATGCCTGGAAGCCTGAGTACCCCGGGGTGCCCACACCCTGCCAGTGCCCTGCCCATCTCTGCCTGGAGGGCACGCCCTCTCCCTTTACCCTGTCTGGCAGAAACCTGCCCTATAGGCCCAGGCAGCACTAGGAGAGAAGGAGGTGGGGTTGAGGGGGGAGTGAGTCATGAGTGGGGAGGGCAGAGGAGGAATTGTGCAGGCTGCTGGCAGGGCCAGCGTGATGACACATGCCGTGCGTGATGACACATGCCATGCATGCACTTGCACTTAGTTCTCAGCACTGAGGCACAGGCCTCTGATGGTAGAGCAGGGGCTGCGAGGGCATGGAAAAGGAGCCAAGGCATGTCCTCATCTTTCCCCCATTATTGCTGGGACATCCAGCCAACCTTTGGAGTGAAGTCCTAACTCCAGGAGTTCTACCTCCGAGGCTCGTTAGCTGTGTGACTGTAAACAAATCACTTCAACTCTCTGGACCTCAGTTTTTTTGTTTTTTTTGTGGGGTTTTTTTTTTGCAGTTTTTGGCCAGGGCCGGGTTTGAACCCACCACCTCCAGTATATGGGGCTGGTGCCCTACTCCTTGAGCCACAGGTGCTGCCTCAGTTTTTTTATCTGAAAAATGGGGGCACTAAGTGATCCACTTTCTAGGATTATTGTGAGGCTTAAAGGAGACCACTAAGGAGACTTCCTTAGTGGTAAGTCTGGCACATGGAGGGCCTCAGCAAGTGGCAAGCTTCTGAATTATCAGAGCACTATCTGCTCCCTGTATTCCAGCTCAGATACAAAGCCAGGCCCTACTTTTGATCCAAGCCCATTCTTTCTTTGGCTCTGGGGATGGAGCAGAGAGGAGGCTGACACATAGACTTTCCATGGACATGTTTTAGGACCCCATCCTGTTGGACTGTGGGCCCTGAGAGAAGGTCAAGGGAGAGGGCTTGCTGAGTCCAGGCTCAGGGTGATGGTGTCGGGACAGGAGAAAGCTACTTCATTCTCTTCTCCCTGTGCTTTTTTCCCAGGCCTTGGGGTGGCCAGAGCTGCCCTGACCTGGCCCGGGGCCAGGGCAGCACCAGCAATATCAGCCTCAAGGTAGGAGAGAAGCCAAGGGGAGTGGGGTGGGGCTGGGGGAACAGAAGCTCTGGGAGGGCTGGGTAGGCCCTTAGAACCCTGACTTACAAGTCAGACAGGTGGAGTTCCAGTCATCCCTCTGCTGCTGATCCACTATGTGACCCTGGGTGGATCACTCCCCACTTCTGAACTTCAGCGTCCCCATCTACAAAGTGGAGACAATAATGCCTCTCTCTCAGGGCTATTGTGAGAAATCAAGTAATGGATGTGGAAGGTCAAGCATGCTGGGGCATGGACGCTCAGGAAGCGTGACTTCCTAGTGCTAGAGTTCTTAGGGGAGGCATGTAGAGACAGAGCCTGTTCCCAGGACCCCCTTCTCTCTGCCTTGTTCTTGGACCTGACCTCCTCCCATCTTTGGCTCCTGTCCCCCACTTCCTGGCATGGTCCTCCAGGGGTAATGCTGGGCCAGTGGCTAACCTCTGGCCACATTTACCCTACTTGAAATGGTAGAGATCTGAGCCATGAATTGGACTGTGATATGGTGTTCTCCCCTTAGAGGAGCAAAGCTAACTCCTCTGGAAGTGGTTCAAGCAGTCATGTGTCTCTTTTTGGTCCCGAATACCATTAGTAATTACTAGATTTTAATTGACTGCTTGTTATGTGTTGGGCACTCTGCATGGTTTATCTGGTACAATCTGTACCACACTCCCAGAAGGCAAGTACTGTTAATATCACACCCACTTTCCATATGGAGAAACTGAGGTGCCAGTGGGATTGCAGCTGGGCAGTAACAGTGCTGGGATTCAAGCCCTAGTTGCCTGGGTCCAGCTCCCCCCACATTGATCGCTGTGCTCTTTTGTCTCTTGAGGTGTTCAGTCCTAGGGAATGAGAGGCTGCACCTCTTTTATAGATGAGTAAATTAAGGCTGTTGGGACCAAGGGACTCCCTGCTAGCAAGAATTCTGACCCCAAATTAGGTTTCTTTGTTGCTAAGGACACAGCCCATCCCTTAAAACTGGTAATTTGAGGGGCAGTTTCCATATCAGTCTGGGATTCTGAGCTGTCATCCCCACAGCCAGGCTGAACCCCCAACAGAAGGCAGCAGACAGAGGTCTGGTGTTGTCCCACTTTCAGGAGAGAGCTTTTCCCTGGCTCTCTCATCTCCCAGGTACACCTCTATGCCCAGGGACCTTCTCCCAGGTGTGCTGTGGGAATCAGGCAGGGAGGG